TTTTTTTTTTTTTTAAGTCAATATGTATTGGTATCAATTTTTGTGTACTGGCGAACTTGTATATGACCAGTCATACATCTGCCAGTGTTAGGTCAAAACTAAGTTTGAGAGTTCTGGCAAACATGTTTTTAGAAAAAAAAAGTCTCTGGATACACATGGTTTTGGATCTTCCATCCATTTTGTTCACAAATCTGAATTATTTTGATGCTGATGATCACAAACTCGCTTTTTTTATCAGTAATCCTGTGCATTTTTGCCCTGTTAAGGGCTTTTTTTTTTTGGTCATCTCATCTAATTTACAATTATTTTTGTCTTGCTATATATTTTCCCAGTAAGTGGTAAGTTTTGTTACTTTATGATTATGTCTGGTAATAATTTTCAAAGCTGTTTTTTCAGGGCTGTGGAAATTTTCTGATTGTCAGTATTGTCATTAAGTTCAGAGAATTTGATGGTCTTTACATGATGTCCCTCTTGCCAGAATTGCTTGTTAGTGCAATGAAAGGAAGCTCTTCTCTTTCCATTCAGTAGTAGCAACACAGCTCTGACTGGAGACAACAGTACAGCATTGTGCATATTCTGGTCATAAAACTTTTCTTTTTCATATTCCCATGTTGCTGTGAAAGAGACCAATCATACTATTTTTATTCTATATTTGAAGCGTGACTCATCTACGTGGGCATACATAAGTATTAGGATATATATATATCATATATTTTTGCATTGTTTCGTATAACTGTGAGACATTTTCTCTTAATCTGCAAGAAGAACATAAGTAACAACTGAAAGCAAAAGACCGTAGAACACACTGAGACATAAAACCGTGAGAAAAATAATATATTATGCAAGTTCCAATGTTCAGTTTATACGCTTCTGATAGAGTAGTTACAGTAGTTAAATAAATGAAATTATAATGAGTTAGACATGCAGCATGAATGAAAGAAATATGAAGTGAACAGAAACTTTGATGATGAAACCTTCCAGAATGTCACCATTTGGAAGCTAGAGAAAATAATATTAAAGTGGGTGTTCGAGAAATTGCAGATAAACAGTAGTCCTCTGTTAATTCCCCTGCATTTTGCTGCTCTTGTGTTGTCAAGATGATTTCATATTGACAGGTGCTTGTGTGTTCATTAACAGCCAGATGTTGTGCATTATGTTTTCATAAAGTGTGTTGCTAATATGTGCATTGTGATGACACGTAACCATGTCATATGTGAAGCGCATATGCAGAGGCAGAAGTTTTGAACACATCTAACTGAGAACACTCAATCCATATGTGCGTATTGTATGTGATCTGTGATGTTTGTTTCTGTGCTTTTGAGCAGTGATTACATGAGGGTTCAGTTAAGGAAGATCTGTATCTGACAGCAATAATAAGAAGCAGAAACAAGTCCCGCAATGAAACTATCTGAAGAATAAATCTGGGAAATTCTTCTAATTCTCTTCATCTTTATAAGAGAGATCTTGAGCCATTACACTTCTTAATACATGAATAAGCAATAAAGTCCATCAAATGTAACAAGTTTAATAGGAGAATATAAAAGTTTGCCTTGTTACTCAGTTCAGAAAGTGTTATTACCCCAGTTACTTTCCAACAAACTGGAGATAGGAACTCATGCATGCATCTGTGCTGTGTAACAGTCACACATAACTGTGAAATTTAGTCTCATAATATAGGTAAAGCAAATAAATTGCAACTGTTTATATACAGAGCACTTGAGAAAAGATTTTTAACCTCAAAATTCAATTTAGGGTAGTATAATTTTGAGCAATTTAGGATATTATATACCAGGAAGGATCCCCATGATTTTCTGCAGATTGTACAGTATTGTTAGGATCATATAAAAATGCTGATATTGTTACCAGACTGTGACAGGCTGAGAATTTAGTTTGAATGGTGGAGACAAGAAATGGATACTGAATTTTGGTGGTGAATTGTCTCAGAAAGTGAGAGTTTGGAAGACTAAGAAGGAGATTGGAGGATAACACAAAGATGTATCTTATGGTTTTGATACGTGAGATTGTGAGGTGAATGAAACTGGCTCAGGATTATGTCCGGTGGTGCTAATGCAAATTCTGTGCCTGGAGATTTAGTTTCAGTGAAGTGTGTTGGTTTTACGATGAACACTACGTCCTCATCCACATATGCTTTGTCAGAACTCTGTACCTATATTTCTGTCTTCATATTGAAGCTTATGTGCATACTAAATCCTAGACATTGCAAATGTGGAAATTACTCATGCTCTCTGTTCTTTACTGACTGTTGTTTTTGATGGATATGTTGATAGATGTGAGTTAGAATGTGTAGCATGCAGACTTATGAAAAAGGAAATGTGGTTAGGAAAGTTCAGTATAAGGGGATGTGTCAGAGGTGTAATCTGAGGTGAACTGGATCTTAAGAAATATATTTGTTGATGTGAAATGGATTGAATGGATTCATTGATAGGATTTAGTGAAGGCATAGCAACCAAACCTGTGTTATAGTGTATATCTTGCATCTCCCATCTTTGAACTTTGAGCACATCTTCAAATCTTGTCGTTGTCATCTTTCTGGAGCCGAAGTGGCACCATGACACACGAACACACACAGATGTTACTTTTGAGAGGAACTTGAGCCCACCCTTTGCCTGTTCTCTCATCATATTGAAAATGTCATTAGTTGTCATGTATGTGCACACACATCTGTGTAATGTATTCCCCCAGAAAGTATATATTTCAGGCCACGTCTTCCTTGAATAGCCATTTTGACTAAAGTATTTAGCAGCATCAACAGAAAAATCATCTTCTTAGGTCGAAGCATTCGGAGACTATTCATCTGTTGGTCTCAGTGTACCTGGCGTGAAGGTAACAAGTCATCCCATCTTCCAATTTGATGACCTTACTGACAATCGGACAGATTCACGGCCTGGAAAAAGCCAGCAATATTCAGGTAATGTGTTGTAAGAGCAAAGCTCTACTCTAGACCATAATAAGTGTCTTGAGCTAATAATGTTACAGTACAACCAACTGAAGCAGCGTAATCGGTCAAGAAGTGGCTCATCGTTGGTGTCAGTTGGTGGACAACAGCGTCAACATCCACCCCCTCTTGTATCTCATGCTAGTGATCCCGCCCTTGCCACTTCCCTGTCGTTGATAAGCACAAACCCTCCATCTCCATCAACTAGCACCAGCACCCTCCAACCCCTGTTGGCGCAGCTTCTTACAACAAGTGAGTATTTGGAATTGTTGTGTTGAACTGAATGAAAAATGACTGCCTGTCCACTGGGTTACCATGATGACTGTGTTCCTCTCTCTAGTGACCTGAGTGAGCAGATTGAATTCCTGTGTCATGTCCAGAAACCTAAGTGTTAAAATATACATAACTATTTACTTTATATGATTTGAATGTTTGCCCCTCACTCTAAGAAAGAGCCTAGCTTGAAGGAATTTGTGAGAAGAGTGTTGAGATGAGTATTTTGACCTAAGAAAGCAGAAGTAATGGGGTAAAGAAAATAACTAACATTATTGGTGTGGAGGATCAGATGGGCGAGACATGTAAAATGCATTTTTATGGAAATTATAACTTAGTGTCCTGTTGCATAAAATTATCATTTTTACAGCTCTGTCAATGAATTGTTACATTAACGCATTTGGAGAACTAATATCAATTTTTTTATATGCATAATGGATTTTTGCTGCAATGAAGACACTTCACTGCTTTAGTCATCTGTACTTCTGTAGATGAGTGGATGCATCACTGTGTCAGATAGTTCATTTTTTCATTCTTGTTTACCTCTGTACTGTATGTTCATCAAAATTGGTACATTTAATTTAAAAAATTATTTGTCAATTAATAAATTTGTTATGTGCTGTATATCTTCCTTTACTCATGCCCCTGATGACTGCTTTTAAATTGATAGCCCTCAGCTGGGATATCATATCCTGCCTCATACTTTTCATGGTTTTCTTCAGTCTTTCCAGGTAGATGCTGGGATAGTACCCAGAGTGGGCTGTGAGTGTTCCTTCCAAATCCTTCTGTCATCCTGCCATCCAATGCTGTATGGTTGAGATGCTGACTATATAGTAAAATAATCCCCCCCCAGTTAAGAAAATCACTTTTGTAAAGTGAAGATCTAATGTTTACTGATTTGTCGATGAATACAGGGAAATCAGAAGGAAGGCTTTATGCCCATTTATCATTGTAAGGTAAAGAAAAAAAATTGTTCCTTTACTTACCTAATTAAGCACTACACCATGAAGATGTATGGGGAGTGGGTATGTAGATCCATGTTTTCTCGACCTCAGTACTAGTTGGAGGTGAGAGGTCAGCTTCACATCCCTGCCACTTTACCCCCTGGGAGAGAGCTCTCAGTACCCATTGGGTAGGAGGCAGGATGGACCCCAGAACTGGTCTCCATGATGTTGAGGAGAGAAAATTCTTTATCCTGCCAAGACTTGAACTCCCACCTCTCGGCTGTCAAGCCTATAGCCAGTAGCTGTCCTGACTCCAGTTTTATTGTGATGGACAGGGATATCACAGGGAAGTTCAAGTATTTATTGTTTTATTGTTTCAACATGTAAAACAAAATCTTCTGCTTTCCATGATAACCCCTTATGTAGGCTACAGAGGGTGTCCATTCTCTTGTTTGATGGAAGTATTCCTCATTACGCTGATAATTGAACTGTAGATAAATGACATCAGTAGACTGAGTAACTTTCAACATAAACCTCCCAGACCACAGGAGTGTGTTGCAATTGAAGTCTTATTAAGAAATCTACATTAAGCAATAGGTCATCACTCTGTCATTATAAATGAATGCCATTAACTGACTGACTAACTAACTAACTTCACAGAGCTGAACCCTTTTTGAGAAACTGCCAGCTGTGAAGCTACTCAAGAACTGACCAGCATTATATGGAACCCGAAGGTTCCTTACAATGTTCAGAAGAGCCCTCCACCAGTCCATACCATCCAACCCTATCTCTCTAAGACCTGTTTTAATATTGTCCACCCACCTACATCTCGGTCTTTCTGGTTGTCTTTCCTTCTGGCTTTCCCAACAATATTGTATATGCATTGTTCTGCTCCTCCTTTCTTGCTACATGCCCTACCCATCTCATTCTCCTTGACTTGGTCACTCTAATTATACTTGGTGAAAAGTACAAGTTATGGAGCTCCTCATTGCAGTTTTCTCTAGTCTCCCTTAGCTTCATCTCTCTTCAATTCAAATATTCTCTTCAGCACCCTGTTCTCAAACACCCTCAGTCTTTGTTCCTCCCTTAATGTCAGAGACCAATTTTCACACCCGTACAGAACCACAGGAAAAATTATACGATTGGTCAAATGGTCAAAGACCTAAGAAAAAAATAAGCTGTAAATAGCAGAAACATTAGACAGTCAATAAATTGAAAATAGAAGTTAACTCAGACAATCCAAGAGAATAACAGTCAGCAATTACTCTATTTGTAAACTCTTCCAAACTTTGACAAGTTAGATTTAAAGATCTTTTTGCATTTGAGTGATGTCTGTGTGAGGGGAAATGACTTGTACTTAGCGGCAATAGAATGTCACAAGCTAGACTGGCCCTGGTGCACCGGAATCTTTAACCCAACAGGTAGCAATGAGTATATTAAAAAACGTGTATTACAAATAAATGCTCAGACTAATCATTTTATTTGTGTAATGTGCTTGCCAGTTTTTGTGACATCTCTGCAGTACAGTGACATTTGTCTCCCAGAAGTGTATGCATGTCATCCGGTGCTGCACCCAATTGCTTACTTTGCCTGTAACTTTTTTTTTTTCATAAATCATTGTAAGAAACTTACACTGTACAATTGAGTAGTGTGTTTTGTTTCACATACTTTTCACTGGACTACTCACTCTCTCTCAGTATATACTGTGTACATATATGCACACACACACTCACACTTATATTTTTCAGTATCATCATTTCTCACTTTTATTTTGTGACATTGTACTCTGGTTTAAGGCTTTCATGACATTTACTTCATCTTATGAAATATTTCAGATTCAGTGGGGATTTACAATTTTACTGGTGTCTCGGAAAAAGGGATTGGCAGGACCCAGTCGGTGGTTCCAATCCTCCCAGCACCAAGTCCTGTGTCACCTCAGCCTACAACAGCTCTTCTTATTACTACCTCAACACCTGTCACTGTGGGGCAGTCATTGGCACATCCTTCCAACCAGGTCAGTGCACTCTCTGTCACATTGAAGCCTGTAGCATGGGATCATCTTAACCTGCTTACATTACAGTTATGTCAGATACTGACACAAAGCCTGTTGAGGTTTCAGTGGAAAATTGTTGAAACCAAACTTTGTTAAAAAGTACTTAATGTCAGTATCCTGGGATGTTCTGGAAATTGCACTAACATTTATACTGAGATCCTAAACTTGATAGAATAACAGTATGCACCAGGTGATGCTGCTTCCTGGAGGAAATGTTTTCGGTGAATGTTGATTATAAAAACACACTTCATCAAAAACACCTAACCACACTTTTTCTTCAACTGGAACAGATTATTGTATGATTGTTGTCCAGTTCATCACTAAACAACAGAGATACATTTCTTTGAATTACATTTCACCAACTTTTAACAGCCAGTTGTAGAGCCATTTGTCCTTCAGATGCAAAGTAAACACTTATAGACACTATAATTTTTACTAATAGCGTTTCTTTGACATCATCATACACTACATTTCCTTCCCATGTACATTCTGTTATCTTCTGGTATATTATTATGCAGTCATACATTATTCTTAGTGATCACAAATGCAACAAATGGGTGGAAGTTTTAGAATAAACAGTTCCCATTGCTAGCCACGGTTTCTGCAAATAATCCCGCCATTGCTAACATGCTCTTAGCAATGGAAATTTATTTCTTGCAAAGGTCAAGACTGCAATGCTTCTGAAGCATTAGGTGTACCTCTCAACTACCACATGGAAGTTCATCCCATAACTACTATTATTGTTTTTTTTGGGTACAGAATCAAGACATCTGAGCCAGCCTTAGGCTTTTGTGTATGAGATTATATAACCCTACTTGCATTCAGTATTTGAATAGAAGAGGAGGAAGCTGTTTCATCTTCCTGAGAATTAATGTATCTGGGAGATTGATCTTCATCACTGTTTCTCAGTCTTTCCAGGTGAGATGGAAGGGGCTTGGGGTTCTGCCCCTATGAATGTTTTTGGAAAACAGATTCCTTTTAAGCCATAAATAGGAACATAATGTTTGAGGTTATTGCTTTGGCTGTATTTGTGCATAATGGGAAGAGAGAAGCTCAATAGTAAAATGAAAGATACATAAATCACAGTTCTGCTTCCTACAGCACATACTGTAGGAAGCACTGATTTTCGCAGAGCACATTGAAAAACTGTCAGCTAGATAGCTTGTTATGGCAGCCTGAAAAAGAGTCCTTGTAGTATGTGCCGCTGCAGAGTGACCAACAGGTGCACGTAGGGTTTGAATGTGCATTTTGAGTTCCTATAAAAACCCTTATACATTGTGATGATTTGTCACAAGCTTTTGGATTATCATGACACTGTACAATGTTGCAGTTGTTACTTGGGCCCTTGGGTGGTGGAGGTGGGGTAAGTGGAGGGAAAGGACGTGATTCACCTAGTGACGCCTCAGCTGTGACTTCTTCTGCGGCACTGAGCCTTTCACCCCTTTCATCACCTCTCAACCTGGCATCAGTGAGCAGTCCTGGCCCCCACTCACCTTCCAGGTCATCGCCCCTTCATTCGAGGGTGGAGGTAGATCAGCGCACACAGTCACGTCGCAAAATCAACAATCCACCAAAGGTAGTTAGATCTCACTTTTTTGACTGCTGGAATTGTGTTTTTCTTGTGTCTATTTTGGATTAGTAGAGTAGTAGTTGCAAATAAGGAATTCAGGATAGCGCTCTTCAAGTTCTTCTTTCCTACTCTATGGATATCTAGTGCTACACAGTTTTTCCATGTCATATATAGTTTAATTAAATTTATGATCCAAGAAGTGGCTGTAATATTTATTGTGAAATATCACTTCTATCAACTTCATACAAAAATTTTATCCAATATTCTTCTCTCAAGGTTAAGTCTATAGATAGATGAAATTATTGTGGATCATCAGTGTGGGTTTCAATGTAACAGATCAGCTACTGATCATATCTTTTGCATTTGTCAGATATTGGAGAAAAAATGGGAGTACAATGAGACAGTCCATCAGCTATTCGTAGAATTCAAGAAAGCCTATGATTCAGTTAGGAGGGAAGTATTGTACAATATTCTTACAGAATTTTGGTGACCCATGAATTTAGTCAGGCTGATTAAAATGTGTTTAAACGAAATGTATAGTAAAGTCCGTATATGTATACATTTGTCTGATAATTAATCCAGGATATGCTGGAACAAGGAGATGCTCAGTTGCCACTCCTTTTCAACTTGGCTTAGAATATGTCATTATGAAGGTCCAGGAAAACCAGTTGGAATTGAAATTAAATGGGACACATTAGCTGTTGGTCTGTGCTGATGATGTGAATCTGCTGGGTGATAATATAGATACCATAAAGAAAAACACGGAAATTTTAATTGACGCTACTAAGGAGGTTGGTCTAGAAGTAAACACAGAGAAAATTAAGTATATGTCCCTCTCATATCACAAGAATGCAGGGCAAATTCTTGACATAAAGATAGCTAAGAGATGTTTTGAAAATGTGTCACAGTTCAGATATTTGTGTATGACTGTATAACAAATGAAAACCTGATTGAGGAGGAAATTAAGAGGAGATTGAATTCAGGTATGCCTTGCTACCATTCAGTCCAGAACCTTTTGTCTTCTCGTCTCCTGCCTAAAAACATAAAAATTAGAATATACAAAACTATGATTTTGCCTGTGGTTCTGTATTGGTGTAAGACTTGGTCTCTAACATTAAGGAAGGAACATAGACTGAGGGTGCTTGAGAACAGGGTGCTGAAGAGAATATTTGAATCGACGTGAGGTAAAACTATGGGAGGTTGGAGAAAACTGCATAATGAGGAGTTTCATAACTTGTACTTTTAACCAAGTATAATTAGAGAGACCAAGTCAAGGAGGATGAGATTGGTAGGGCATGTAGCATGAAAAGGGGAGAAGAACAATGCATATATGGTATTGTTGGGACAGCCAGAAGGAAAGACCACTAGGAAGACCAAGATGTAGGTGGGTGGACAATAGTAAAACGGGTCTTACAGAGGTAGGGTCTGATGGTATGGACTGGATTGATCTGGCTCAGGATAGGGACTAGTGGAGGGCTTTTATGAATATGGTAATGCACCTTTGGGTTCTGTAGAATGCTGAGAAGTACTTGAGTAGCTGCATAATTGACGGCTTCTCAAGAAAGGCTCGGCTCCATGAGTGAGTGAGTGAATCCAAGAAGCTGGTGGGTTAGCATACTAAACTTGTGCACAGCAGCTGCTTGTAGGCAAATGCACTTGCACAGAAAGACCCACAGTACTTTCCAGTAATGACCTTCAAACAACAGTAGATATCTGTCAAGTGAAAGTCTATTCTTTCTCTAAACATTCAGCAAGTCACACTTTATACCATTTATTGACAGATATGCTATACTGAGTAATTAACAAGGAACTGATCTACTTGGCTGTAGTGGTTTTAACACATCTACCGCAAGCTGAGCTAGTAACTATATGGTGTGCAAAAAGTTAATATTCGAGGGCTTTTCGGAAATTAACTTCCATTTATTTTAGGAAACTAATGTAGGACCAGGAGAGAGCTTGCGCATTCGAGGTAGCATCACATGACTTTTGCCTTGTAAACCATCACATAATTGGTCACCTAGTGTTCTTTTGTTTCTCTACAGAGTGATTTATGACATGTCCTGCGCTTGATAATCCCTCCAACTGCAAAATTTATGCTGTTATTTGCTAAAAACATCAGTGATGCAGATATCAATCATGAATTATACACAGCAGTTAACGGCCAGAATATAATGAATGGAAGAAATCTAAGACAGTGGTGCAGAACATTCAAAGATGGGCAAACAAATGTTCACGATGAAGAGCGAAGTGGTCAACCATCTGTAGTGAGTGATTCTTCTTCTTCAGAGTGTCGACCAGACAGTGCTTTACAATTTAGGAACTTCCACATGAATTTCCGCAAGTTTTGTGCAAGATTGTTTCTGAAAATGCTCATGGGTGCATACAAAATGCAGAGAATTTCTTCACTTTCTGTAGAATGTTTTTAGAGTGGTACCAAAAGGATGGCAATGAATTTCACAGACACATCATTTGAGTAACAGGTGATAAAATGTGGGTTTCGGTTGTGAATGTTGAAATTAAAGAACAGTCAAAGCAGTGGATGCACACACATTCACCAAACAGACCGAAAAATTTAAACGTGTCCCAGACAGCTGATAGCAGTTGTTTTCTGAAACAGGAACAGATTGTTGGTGGTGGAAATCATGCAACAAGGGGCGACAATAACCTCAGAAGTGTATTGTGAAACACTGAAAAACTGTGTAGGGCCATGGGAATGCTGATATCAGGTTTAGTGGTCCTCCATGACATTGTGCATCCACATACAGCTGCTCGCACTTAAGCACTGCTGCAGCATTTCTGCTGGGAGTTGTTGGATCACCCTCTGTACAGGACTGATCTCACTCCAAATGACTACCAACTGATTACCTACCTAAGGAACTGATTGGGGTCACAGCACACACACACACACACACACACACAATAATGAGTGATTGATGGAAGGTGTCAAAACGTGGCTGAGTGCACAGACGGCAGACTTCTTTAACACATGCATAAAAAAACTTATTCCCCAACATGACAGGTTCCTCAGTTCCAGTGGTGACTACATTGAGAAGTAGCTTAAGTACGTATGTATTTTTTGTACATAATTTTATTTTTGCATTGCTTGTTTTGTTAACAGCTCACCAGAGGATACTTTTTGAATAGCCCTCGTATGTTGCCATTGTCAGCCTGAATTTCTCGGTCAGTACCAGTGGTTTGCCATCTCAGCACAAATGTATAATGTTACTTTCACTGGATCCTTTGGGTATAGAGATGTTCGTAAAATCATTTTAAAAATTCAGTGGCTCAAGTGTAAGATTTTGTTGGAAAGATGTTGAAGTTTCATGATCTTTTACAGGATCGTCGCACATGCCACATCAATGCAGAGCAGAAGCGAAGGTGCAATATCAAGAATGGATTTGACATGCTCCACTCCTTAATACCACAGCTCAATCAAAACCCTAATGCAAAGGTAAACATCCTTTCTCATAATTACTGGTACCACTGATGGTGATAAAGAGGTACCTTTGCCTATTCATGTTCTTCTCAGTCTTCTTGAGGTATGTGCTATTTAAATGGCTGACGTTTTAGTGATTTAGTCATGGGATAAGAGCTTCAAAGTGTTTTAGGTGGGGGGATGGGGTGAGACATATTGACAGATTGCAAGGTAGATGGTCACTCAGGGTGACTTTGACACTGAAGGTAGAACAGTATGTTCATCTGCAACATTGGTGTTCACCTAAAAATCTGCGTTATGCCATAACCTGGAAGAACATCATGAACAATTTACTGCCTTGAAGATCATGAAACTAATGATACACATCATGTTTTCTCTGTGTGTTCCAAACTCCAGTTGTGTTTGTTTTTAGTTTAATCTGATATTTTTATCAGACTGAGCCCCAAGTTTTTATAAATTGCTAGATAGTACAGGGCGTTCAGTGATAAAGGAAACCTGGCAGCAGTGCAGAGACAGATTGCTACTGTAACTGCAGATATCAGAATGAGTCTTTAGCACTGATAAACGCGCACACTCTCGCTAGCGTAGAACTGAGGGAACTTTTCTCCACGACTACTGTGCCCTTCCCCACTAGCGAGAGTGCAGTCGTGTCGCTGATTCCATCACATCAGTTTCTGTACATGCACACATTTATAGGAATACTGTAAAAAGATAACACAAACTTACCGTGCTTTATAATTTTTTTTGTTGGCTCTACAGCCCTCATTTGGGCCTAGGCCTACCTTTTGAAACTCTCCGTTTCACTTTGGTTTACTACATCTTAGACATATGGTAGGACTCCTTGGGCGGGTGGTCAGCTCGTCGCAAGGCCTCTACCTGTACACAAACACAGAAAAATGCACACAAACATCCATACCCTGAGTGGGATTTGAACCACGATCCCGGCTTCTGAGCGAGCGAAGACAGTGAATACCTTAGACCGCTCGGCTACTGTGACCGGCACCGTGCTTTATAATAGGTGCTGAAAATGACACCCTTCTGCTTGCAAACATGCCTCACATCGCATAAATAAATCATGTGACACTCTCTGAAGATGATCCATGGCAATTGAACTAATTACACATGTTATTTCATTCTGCAGAGCTTCAGTGGTGCAAGGATTATCCTTGTAGACTTTTCCTTTTAGGTTTCCCTGAAGATAAAAATTGCAAAACTGATATCTTGGAGGCCACAGTCTCCTACTGATTTCTTTGTCTTCAAACACTTCCCCTTTTGCAACCGTGGATCCATTAGCCGTATGTGCTGTAGCGTTGTCTTGCTGAAAATACCCATATTGTCTTTCTTCAGCAGTCAGCTGTTTGAAGAACAGATTCATGATATCATTATTGTAGCTGTCAGAGTTCATGATTTCGTGGAGAAATAAGGGGCCAGTGATTCGCTGCGGACTTACAGCAGACCACACCCCCACCTTTTCACTACATAGTTGCACTTGCTGTATAGCGTAAGGATTTTCATCGCTCCATATTCTTATATTTTGTGCACTGACATGGCCACTAACATGAAACCACACTTCATCAGTCATGAACAGAAGCTGTGGATCCACGATTCCATCGTGCACATTTTGCAGCAGCCAGTTGCAATAACGAATTCTTGCTGCATAATCTGGTTGTTTCAGCTCGTGCACAACTGTTATTTTGTACGGGCAAAATGTTATTAATTTTGTGGCTGTGAAAGCAGATCATAGCGAAACACCGGTTTCCTGTGCTAAGCGTCTTAACAATTTTCAAGGATTGATCTGTAGTCGTGCCTCAATATCCCGAACCTTTTCTTCAGTCAGCACAGTCCTCTTCCATTGCTTCTTTATGTCACACACTGAACCTGTGACCCACCACTTTTTCACAAGCATGGATACACATCACTTTGTGGGAACTGGCGAGTCAGGATGTTTATGACGAAACTTACGGATACATTTTCTGTAAGTTTTTCCTTGCAAAAGTTTCGACAATGAACACAAGCTGTTTAGTAGTATTTCAGTATAAATGTCGACCACCTATCGACACCTCTAACAGAGACTGACTGTATTTATGCAACTTAATGCAGTGACAAGATCAGACCATCTGACGGCGCGCGTTTATCAGTGCTAATAGCTCATTCTGCTATTGGCAGTTACAGCAACAATCTGTGAGAAATGTTTTGTCCGCTCAACCCTGTTGCCAAATTTCCTCGATCATTGAAGGCATTGTACTTATGCAACATGTTGTCATGTGATTATGACTATACATGGGTTTTGACTGGTAATTAGATTTATTGGACCCTTTAGCTCACAGCTCATGACTACACTTTAGAAATAACTGTGACACAGAGAGCAGTGTTCTCAGTCACAGTCTTCACTGCATTGCTTGGTAATGTCCTCTAACAGTGGACATTCCTATGTGCATGGGCTCACATCCTCACAGGCTCGCAGCCATCTCACACCAACCTCCTACTCTTCTAACTGCCATCTCAGGACTCTTAATATCAACTGGTCATTATCCTGGTCCGTAGCACAGACCGCAAGAAAACACTGCCTTCAGTTACTCCTCCATCATTGTGTGTGTCTTTCTTGCAGCAATCATGTGACAGCTACTGAACCATTGCCTAGCAATGGGCATGTTTGCAGAGCTGTTTCGTAGCGGCAGCTGTTTCTCTGTTTCTTGCTTTGAGTAAATATGTCACATTATGGATGTGTATTATTCACCATCTGTCATATGTTTATGCTTGTGAATGTGTTTTTATTCCTGCACTTTTGGAGACAGAATATATTTTTTAAGACAACACTGTTGGAAAGTAATGTAGCAGCAAGTTAAAATGGAACAGATTTTGTTCTGTGAGAGTCTCTTATTACAGACCAACCAAATATTCTGCCAGTGGGTACTGTCGCTGAGCAAGTTGGTTCAAACAGTAATACTTCTGACTTGTATTCAGGAGGAATCATGGTCATGGTACTGACTATCTTGACTGAGGTTTTTGTGGTTTTCCTCAGTCTTGCCAGATGAATGATGGGATAACACCTTGAAGTAGGCTGTGACACTTTCCCCCTACATCCTGTTCAATTTGTAATTATCTTGCCATTTCAAAGAGCATCTAAAAGGGTTAAATAAACTATTAATAAGCATTGTCAGCATAGTATCCAGTATCAAGATGTAGTTTCTTTTGAAACTAATGTCCTCTGGTGACAGTGGAATTCTTTGAGGTTCTCCCTAAATAAAGAAGAATTTGTATAAGTTATTCTGAGAACGTTATGGAATAATTATGGTCTGGTCATAATCACAGAGACACTTTGAAACTTTATCTGGATAATTATTGATGGATGTTTTGAGGTTGTATGGGAACGGAAAGCTGAGGAGAGAAACTGGACCTAAAAGGGTACAGTGGAGAAATTTGCATATTAATGAGCTTCATAAATGGTGATCTTCATACAATGTTAGGATGGTCAGGTCTGGGAGAGTGAGGGGGGTGGTTATATGGAATGGATGAGGAATGTGTACAGAATTTTAGACAGGAAACCTGAAGGGAAGAGAACACATAAGAAACCTAGGTGTAGATGGAGGATAATATTAAAATTTATCCTGAAGAAAGTGAATGTGAGGATGTAGACTGGAATCATCTTGCTCATGATATTGGTCATTGTGAGCTTTTGTGATGTGGTAATGAATCTTTTGGTTACACAAAAGGTGTTCTGTGGAGTGAAAGAATGTAAGGTTTGGGATTAAATTTATCTGGCCTAGGATGGAGTTTAAGGTCAGGCTTTTATGAACAAGAAGAATGAACATTCTTATTAACTAAAAGAGGGAATATCTGACACAGCTTAGTGGCTGTCAGGCTTTCAGGGAAGGCTCTGTAGTAGAATAATGTAGTACCCCAGAGCAGCTGATTGATACTTGACTGATGACTGATGAATCATCTGAAGCTCCTCCTTTGATGAATTTGTATTGCTAAGTAATAGTTAGGACACTGTAAGCATGTACCTGATCAGAAGAGTATTTACTGTCTTCAGCAGTGAATAGTAAGTATAATTGCAGCTACCAAAATGTATTATCCAAGCAGTAACCATTGTCCTGTATAATACAGTAGAAGTCCACAGATATTTTGTAGGAACATACTGCTTCCATCTTCAAGGTCAGAGGGTGAGCCAACCAAACTACAAATTAGATGTAAACAACAAGCAGATCATCCTACTTCAATCCTGAAGATGGGGGCACTATTTTCCTCCAAATTATTAGTGAGCTTATATCAGAAGTATATTCATACAGCAACACACATATTTTGAGTGAAAAGTAACTTTAGCTGTTTTTACATATACTGTATAATTGTAAAAGATTTATGGATTGTGTAATTATGTGTATTCATAACTTGGACTCTTCTCCAAGTATAATTAGAATGATCAAGTCAAGGAGGATGAGGTGGGCAGGTCATGTAGCACGAATGGGGGAGACGAGGAATGCGTATAGGATATTGGTGGGAAAGCCAGAAGGAAAGAGACCACAGGGAAGAGCAAGGCATAGGTGGGTGGACAATATTAGAATGGATCTTAGAGAGAGAGAATGGAATGGTATGGATTGGATAGATCTGGCTCAGGATAGGGACCAGTGGAGGGCTCTTGTGAACACGGTGATGAACCTTCGGGTTCCATAAAATGCTGGGAAATTCTTGAGTAGCTGCAGAATTGGCGGCTCCTCCAGAAGGGCTCAGCTCCATAAGTAAGTAAGTAAGTAATTATGTGTATGATTAGGTCTGTTGTAGTGCATTTTGTTTTGTGACTGTGTTGTACTTTTTCATATGATGTGAATTTGATATTTTGTACTGTATTGTATTTGTTGCATATTCTGCTTACTGAGATTTATGGAATGCACTTACATCTGTCTGTCTGGTCATTCATCCATCTATTTATCTATCTGCTTCTCTGTCTGTCCATCTTCTGGAAGTGGTATACTGTTTCAGCTCAGTAAAGCTGCGATGCTACAGAAAGGTGCTGACTACATTCGACAACTGCGGGCTGAGAGGTCTCAACTTCGTGAGGAAATGGACAACTTGCGCCAGCAAATTGAATGCCTCAATACTGCTATAAGGTATCTTCAGTTGTAGTTACGATAGGGCTCTGTGTGTATCTCTGTGGGTGGGAAGTTGCTGGTAATGTTTCGTGGACATAGGTGCTTAGATGTGCACATGTGTGGGTGACACAGCAGATGCATGTAGCAGTAGTGTTCCAGACTTATATTCAGGATGGCCAGGTTACACGGTAATTTGACTCAGGTTTTTCATGATTTCTGTCTGTCTGCAGGTGAATGCTATAATGGTATAATGAAATATTCCGTAACTGTCTCCTTGAAGATCCTTACATACTCATCGTTGTTCTTTATATTCCCATTTTAATCAACACTACATAACTTCTTCATTAAATAACACAGCAGAACAGATTTTTGCATTTTTCCAATAATGCATATGAAATATTGTTGTATTTCAGCATCCTGCTGCATTAACTTATCACTTATACATGCATACACTTCCCTCTCAAATGCAACTTTATTTTTCCTTTACTCCTCATCTTTGTTATGTGTTTCAGCTGCACCCAGCAAACATGAGGCAACTGTTTATCTTGCTAAAACCATTACAGTGTATTTTCCACTATCATCATCATCATCATCATTAGTATTCTGTCAAGACGACAGGTCCACAGTCTCTTCCAAAACAATTCCTCCACTTAATGCGATCTAGAGCTTTCTCCTTCAAATGACAGTATCCTCTTCTGTCCCCAAGGTCATCCAGCATCTTCTTACGTCTTCTTCCTCGTCTTCTTGTCACTTCTATCCCCCCCTCTGTCTTTCCTTCGATAACTTCTTTTAGAAGGCAGTTTCTGCGTAAAACATGACCAATCCAATTAGCCTTCCGTTTTCTTATTTCGTGTAGGATATTCCTCTGCTCACTGACTCTAATTAACACTTCTTCATTTCTCACATAATCGGTCCAACTGATCTTCTCCATCCTTCTCCAACACCACATTTC